TAAAAACCTCCCTGTATAATGCTGTGTAATGTACTGGATACAAACATTTTTCAAAATGGTGATCAAAATATCACCTTTAAATTGTTATATCAAGAACCTAATCCAGTTTAAATACTAAGTTCAAACCATGTCATAATCAACATTTTTTAAAAAATTGTCACTTTAAAATTATAAGTATGTAACCTTTCACCTTAGTTGCACAGTCTGTACAAACACAGTTCAATTTTTCTTGAGAGTAGCCTACAATCGCTTAATCAAATGTATTGTTTGTCTCTGTCATCTTTAAGGCCAAAAACTAATATTTTGTTTCGGTCCAGCAGACCTCAGAGCAAAGTACACATGCATCCTCTGTCATAAATTCCATACACATTTCCTTTTGCAATGACACTTATATTAATTGTGCATGTTGGTCAATTGAAAGAAGTACAAGAATTTAACACCTTCATTACAAATACTCAACATTTCATTCATGTAACTGTGAATGTAACAGTAAATGAAATGACCAAAATTTAACTATTCACAAGTCTTAATGCTGGCTAAACAAAGGGATCAATCTGTCTGTAGAATTAGTAGTAGTAGCAAAACTCTGAACTTGCTTTGCCCTTTAGGTGAAGATAAATCCTCATTATACTGTGTTATAAGTGTTGAAATCAAACTACCTGTAAAAAAAAAAAAGAAACATGCTCATCAACCTGTGACTAGATCATGTATTTAGCTCTGTGATAATCTTCGGAAACAATACAGACAGTTTCAACAAACGCTTTTGTGAAACGACAAGACTACTGCATTCATTAATGTTGCTGTGCTATCTTAAAGCTGGACTTCTAATAGAGGTATAAAAAATCTGTGTATATTCTCAAAATAACTCTATTTTACAAAGTACTGACAGAATTCATATGTATAATATAACTGTAATGGCTAAACAGCCAAGTATATGTAACCTTTCACTCAATTTGCCATTGTAACCATGTACTATAGATTTAAAAATAATTAGATAAAATGTTTATATTCTGTTGTGATAAATTATTTTAATATCATTATTTTCTTCCTAGTTGCTGTAGAGCAGATGAAAATGGATAAACAATTCTATAAGGTAAAACAGTGTTGTAAAAGCCAAGTGTTATTTCTGTACCACACATCCTATATCCTCGCTGTGAGATGTCGAGGCTCCCATATTTTCTCCAGACAATCAGCTCAAAGATGGCGGTGAGGTTGTCAGTGTTACACGCTGGCTGCCATTTACCCCTAGGAAAATTCCTGGTACTCATTTCTGTTAGAGGCTGAGTCGATCCCAGGGCCAGGTTGTGGCTGGAAGGATTAGGTAAATCGAAAAAATCCACCTTCTCGGGACACGAACCCACAACTTTCTGGCTTGTAGCACAGTGCCTCAACCATACTACCACATGCCTCATTCTACTGAACATAGATCATTATTTTATAATTGCAATATGCATAAAAATAAATATCTTCTCTGATATACAAATGCCTGGGGAGAAAAGGCAATGAATGGGCAAATCAAAATTCTTTGTCTTATGTTAACCGGGGTCAGGTCAGACCATGAGCTCTACTCTTGCTACACCTATTCTGATACTGGTTATGGCTGCGCTAGTATTGAGAGTGATTTCAAATATCATTGCCAGACTAACCCAATTTATTTACATACAAAACAGAGGTGCAAAGTGATACAACCATAATATATGTTGAGGATAAACATGTTTTGTATAAAAGAGTTCTATCTTCTGGGATATAACATTTTATAGTAATCAAAAGTCAGTCAATATTTCAGAGGAATGTGTCACCTCCATCATCAGGGATGAAGAATATGCCAAGCAACAAACCAGCATGAAGCAGGTGACTCTGCTTCCTACCTGCTTCATGTTGGCTAAGGTAGATCTGAAGCTGCAGAAATGCACTTCCTAATAGCTAAGTTAGAACACCAACTGATTGATCACAGACATAATGAAGAGACAGAAGAAAAACTACAAATTACTGACATGAATTCAAGCACTACAGATTAGAAAATAAAACAGCTCATAGAATACCCAAGGAGAATGCAGAAAAACAGATTTCCTTAATTACTCTCAGATTACAAATCCAGAGGTGGAGGAGACCAAGGACACCCATGTTAAAGACAGAACAGTTTTGTATTTAACAGTCAAAATTTTAAGCTGGAACAAGCTTTCATAAGAGCCTAAACCATGCTGCTGCTGATGGTGGACCTAAGAAAAAAGTGTAAGAATGTGTATTGAATTCACATGGTGGAAAATGGGGACCAGTGGTAAACTCTTGTGAACAAACAGTAAACCTGCACATTCCAAAGAGGCAGGGAATTTCTTGATTACCTGTTCAACGACGAGCTTCTCATGGAGAGTACTGCTTCATAAAATTAGTTAATAACAATTCAATCTACTTTCTTCCTAAAAGGATCATCTCAAGGAAAACCGTAAGCAGTGGCAGAACTTTTACTATATTGGAAGTAATAACACTATACTGCATAGCCCGTTTACGAGCTGCAGAAGAGATTCACAGTTGAGACTTCAGATTCAGGTGGTTTACTTAAAAGTCCTGGTAATACATGCTACTCACCTGTATGTCACAGCTATATATAACTGATTCTTTCTCAGTAATTCTCAGTCACAGATTCAATGAGCAGACTCTGACCTGAAGGAACTGAAGTATTTCTGGAAGATGACAGTGAAGCTTATCCAAAGGATGAAAATGAAGATACATTAGAAGATGAAAAACAAGAAGAGGAACCAGAACCACACCCACTCAGAAACAAATCCAATGAACACATAAACACAGTATGTACACAGGCTGTTCCAAGATTTTCTGCATACATTATTAAGCTGTAGGTGGTGGTGTAAACAGAGCAACAGTGACAGTCAATAATGGGCCCTCTCCACTCCCTGAAGACTGAAGTGGTTCTCTTCCCCAATGTAATAATGCATATGAAACAGAACAATTTTACATTTCCTTCCATGTAATACTACAAAGCAAGACAGGTTCTTATACATTCTCTTATTCCTTACATTTCACAGACAGGAAAAATAAGGAAGAATAAAGAGGTTGTTCTAGGAGTACAAGAGAAAACTAAGTATATGTTGTCGTCTTGTCACCAGAATGCAGGGCAAAATCATGACATAAAGATAAGAAACAGATGTTTTGAAAATGTGGCACAGTTCAGATATCTGGGAATGATAACAAATCAAAACCTGATTCAGGAGGAAATTAAGAGGAAACTGAAAATGGGTAATGCTTGCTACCATTCAGTCCAGAACCTTTTGTTTTCTCGTCTCTGTCCTAAAACATAAAATTAGAACATACAAAACTATAATTTTGCCTGTGGTTCTGTATGGGCATGAAACTTTGTCTCTGACATTAAGGGAGGAACACAGACTGATGGTGTTTGAGAAGCGGGTGTTGAGGAGAATATTTGGACTGAAGAAAGATGAAGTGATAGGAGGTTGGAGAAAACTGCATAATGAGGAGCTTCATAACTTGTACTCTTCTCCAAGTATAATTAGAATGATCAAGTCAAGGAGGATGAGATGGGAAGGGCACAGAGCATGAATGGGGGCGAAGAGGAATGCATATAGGATATTGGTGGGAAAGCCAGATGGACAGAGGCCATTGGGGAGACCAAGGTGTAGGTGGGTGGACAATATTAAAATGGATCTTAGAGGGATAGGATGGAATGCTGTGGACTGGATAGATCTGGCCCAGGATAGGGACCAGTGGAGGGCTCTTGTGAACACAGTAATGAACCTTTGGGTTCCATAAAATGCTGGGAAGTTCTTGAGTAGCCGCACAATTGGTGGCTTCTCAAAAAGGGCTCAGGTCCGTGAGTGAGTGAGTACCTGAATGTTCTCTCCCAACATTCTTCTGCAAATAATTAGATAACTACAAAAATTTCTAAGTTGGATACCTCTTAACCAGGCAGAATCTGGTACCAGAATATTTCCACTACACAAACTACTCCCTGCCAGAAAAATACCAAGTTATTTAAATAATTTCTCTCCAGTCTTTGTAATAATCTACAATGATTACAATTTTCAGTTTTCAATTACAAAATATATTTATTAATACTACACTATTTTATACATACAATGAAACAACCACTTTGTTGAAATAACTGAAACAATTGCTTTTCTTCCTTCAATTCTTCTTCTTCTTGCTCAAAATCTAAACTTCCATTAACACCTCTGTGCTGTATGAAAGCCTACTGCAAGAGGTAGAATCAAATCCTTCCATGCACTTTCATCATGGCTGCTTGAACTAAGTAATAATGCAATATTGCAGATGCCATATTTTACATTCTAAATTTATTCAGTCCATATAGCCTTGGATCTGTTGCAGAACGAAATGGAAGTTTTTGACTTTCTACACTTGCACAGCTACAGAACATCAGTTTCATGTCTGTATTCTTAGGTTGGTATGTAAAGTGAAATTCCTCTTTAAACATTTTAACATGGCAGTTTCAATTCAAAGCAAGAGAGGAAAGCTTTAGTCCAAAATGAGTAATATTTTTGCAGGGGACAGCGAATATATATGCCTTAATATTAAATAATATATGAAGATGCATGGTATGCTGGATTTGATGTTCTCACAGTGGTGCTTAAGAAAAGTACTACCTTCTGGGCTATAATGCTGTGCAGTCGGGTAGATGTCCACCACTGCTTCAGAGGAACATTCTGCCTAGATTGTCAGGGTCATACAGCAGCACCAGCAACAAGCAAGCAGTAAGCAGAGACCTCTACCAAACTACATGTTGTTACAACCCAGAACACAGTACGGTTCAAGATGCATGGTAAAATGGGGTCAAGGTTGGAGGGCAGTCACAGAAAAGTTTGAGGCATAAACCCAATACTCACTTCATAAGTCACACGCAATTGCTGCTGAACCAAAGTATGAACCAGGTATCTCCAGAACAGAAATTGGATACATTATCAAAGAACTAAACCTGCTAGGACAAGAAAGGTTGAAAACTAAACAAGGAGAAAAACAGAATACATATATTACTGCACAATGTTGGCAAAATACATGATTCGTTCTCCCATTCCGGAGTGACAGAAAGTTAAGTCTTCCAGGTGTAAAACTTTAGAAAGTGTCATGCCTTACATGTATGCGACCAAGTTTAACCACGGAACAATTATGGGCATTTCACTTTATAACAATAAAATTTCTGAAGGGAAACTTCTTGCCATTCTAACAGCACCAATCAATTTGGAGGAAACTTCCTTAGCAGGACATTCACCTGCTTGGATGTAAGTTTCTTTTCTCCTGGTACCAGAATGCCTTGCTGCTCCTGGTCCTTCTTCTTATTCTTCTTGCTCTGCAACAAAATCAAACCCACACACAGCACTTAATCTTTAAGCTTTACCTGTACTGACAGGAAGCCCTGTTATTCATATCCAACACGTTATTTTGCAACAGAGGAACATTCTACCCAAGAGATTTCTCTTACACAAAGGAGTCAAGCTCTCAAGTGTCATCTTTGTATATGAACAGCGAACTGTATGCTTCCAATCTGAAATGATCTCTTACTACAACCTCCACAAGGGAGGAGGAGAAGAGGAAGGAGGGGAGGAGGAGGAGGAGAGGAAAAAGTGGCCAAGATGTGGAAGATGGAGGGGAGGAGGAGAACAGACCACAAAAAGGTAAGGGGTTAGATTTTTACTGTTTTGGTGGTCATGAAGGACAACCCTGGAAAAAAAGATTAAAAGCTACACAAATACAAATAGTAGGAGACTGCTTTACAGTTAAATTTGAAGCAAAAAAAGGAGATGAAATGTCTTTCCCACATTAATATGTTATGGTTTACATTACCATATAGTTTTTGTAGCAGCTCTGGAAGTTATTAATCTCTTTGGAGCACAATGCTTGATTAAAGTCATTGTTCTTGAAGCAGGCAAACAAAATTGACATCTCATACAAGCAGGCAACATCTGTGAACAGAAATAAAAGAGCAAAAATAATGAATTTTATCTTCAGTAATGTAATACAAATGGATTGAAGTATGTACATTATTTTCACAGGTTTTTAGAGGCAGCATTGGCAGTCCTTCCCACACAGCAGGCTAGGATGGAATTTTCAGTCTAAAAATGTAAAATCNCTAACTTCGTGGAGCTGAGCCCTTCTTCAGAAGCTGACAGTTGTGCAGCTACTCAAGAATTTCCCAACATTTTATGTAATCTGCGGGTTCATTACCATGTTCACAAGAGCCCTCCACTGGTCCCTATCCTGAGCCAACAATCCAGTCCATACAATTGCACCCTATCTCTCTAAGATCCATTTTAATATTAACCATAAAACCTCAACTTTGGCTTCCTAGTGGCTCTTTCCTGCTAGTTTTCCTGCCAATACCCTATATACATTCCTCTTCTCCCCCATTCGTGCTACATGCAATAATGTAGTACAGGGAATATAAAATTCAAAATACTTAACATATGAATTTATGCAATTAAATAATTTCAAGACAATAAGGATCCTTATTTGAAGAATTAGATGATAATTAATTGCAATTCAACAGCTCAAACTGGAGCACTGTACGCCTGACATGACCTGACGTAAGGGTTGAAACATGTTGCATCTGTAAAAACATAATAAAAGCAAATGCTGATGCAGTAGTGTTTTCCTTGTTTTTTAAATACAGAATATTGTTCTGTAGACGGCATACCTTATATACTTTTATATATCTTATTTATGACATACGACAGGATGCACACTTTATGCTTATCTTAACATAATCAGTGTACTGAGAATAAATTCTATTAAACAGTCATGGTCATTTACCAGTAAACAGTATAAGTTTATGAAACCAATACTCAAGTAAAAGATGCACAAATGTAAAACTATACCCATTTCTCATTACATGCAGAAGCCTTGCTTTCTTCTGACAAAAATTTATGATACTTCAAAAATATGCTTAAATGGACCTCAAGTAGAAAGAAAAAAGGACAGCATGTCTATCAGAATTGCTGTAAATGCTTCCTTTCACTTTACAGTATATCTGTATAATTTCATTTCATTTCATTTTTTCATTTTTATTATCATTCAACAATCCATACATACAGGTATTACAACCATTTGGATAAGGAAATTGTCAGTTTTACATCTAATTCTCGTGCAAATCTTTACAGTACACACTGTACCACCCTAATATAGGGGGTTTGTCATCTGAATATTATCTAGGTCTAGTTACCATTAATTTCATTATCTTTACACAAATACAACAAATTAATCAGCTACATATTACACTTACACACTTGATGAATCAAAAGACATAAATTCATCTACAGAATAAAAGGAATGTTTCAGCAAAAAAAGATTTTAATTTCTTTTTAAATGAGTTAAAATTTTCCTTTTGTTTTATTTGATTGGGGACCTTATTATATAAACTAATTCCCATATTTATCACTCCTCTTAAAAAGAGCTGTATTACAGTGCTGTACATGAATATTTAATTTTCTTCGTGTGTTATAATTATGAATGTCTGAATTTATTGCCATAAAAGCCTTGTATTTTTTGATAAAGCATGTCACCTCCAATATATACAGATAATCTTTAAAAATTTGTCTACATGATGTGCGACTACTAATACCACTAATCACTCGAAGAACCTGCTTTTGCAATTTAAAAATGCTTTTACTTTCCCATCCCCACCCCACAATAAGATACCATTTCTCATACACGACTCAAAATTCGAAAAATAAATAATTTTTATCATATATGGACTCATTATTTCTTTTAATATTTTCACCATATAAATTATTTTGCATAGCTTTGCTTTTAGAAATTGAGCATGAGCGCACCATTTCAGGGTTTCTGTCATGTGAATTCCAAGAAATCTCAGTTCTGACTGATATACTATTTCTGTATTATTAAAAACTATTTGTGGTCTTAACGGATCTCTCCACTGTTCTGAATGAAATGACATGGCAGATGTCTTTTTAGTATTTATTACAAGGTTATTTTTTTGAAACCATATTTCTAATTCTTTCATAACATTCATTATTTTATATCGAAGGTCAAGTTCATCTTTTCCAGTAATTAACAAATTGGTATCAGCTGCATATAAAACCAGCTTTGCTCCTTGAACATTAATTATTCATCTTTCAATTACATGCTTTAAAACAGCTACATAATTTTTCAGAAATTAAAGTAAGGTCCTTTACAAACCAGAAGTCCTGTCCCCTTTTCCAGAAACTGCTTTCTTCAAACGTAATGGAAGCACCTCTTGGAATGGAACAGGCTCTCTCTGTGGGAGTCTGGCTGGTATCCTGAGGTTGTAGTTCAGTCTCATTTCCCTTCAAACCTGAGTAAATTCCTGAAAAACAGCATGTAACATTCCTTAATTACCTAGGAACAGATAAAGTTTATTTATAATTTTGAGGACAGCTACAGTACAAAGCCACAAATACATATAGTGGGCATGAAGAAGTACTGCCATACATACTTAAACCTAGTCACTACTTGAAAGTGAAGGACTTATGTTACACTTTGATCAGAATTTCATCAAAATCCAATAAACACAGAACATAACACCTAACATAATAACAACCATAACACATGTTGGATCAAATGTAACGTCGGCACAATGCTCCAGAATAACCAAGGCACATTCTGTGCTTAATCAATTTACAGATCAACAGGACTGTGTGAAATTTTCTTTCTTTTGCACTTTACTGTGTACCTAATAAAAACAGCAAAAACTTCAGCAGCAACAGTCTCAGTAACTTTTCTCCCAGTTACTCCAACATTTTAGGAAGATCTATTTTCTTAATCACTACACATACTGAAGTGATGAGTAACTAAAAAAGATTATACCAGCACAATGACAATGTTTCCCCAAATTTAATAAAGTGGTAAACAGGGAACTATATTGTGTGAATAAGCAACTATGAAGACTGGATACACGGCAGATACAGGATGGCAGAACGTACTTCTCTAACCAAGTAATATTTGAAAATGTATGGTGAAAGCAGAAGCTGGATGCAGGAACACATGAAAACTTATTGAAAACGCCGATGACTTTCAAGAACCCCCATGAAAATGACATAGTGCCACCAACGACCTTGGTGGTATATAATTCAGCACCAATATTTTGATCGAAGACCATGGCCAGCTGATGAATTTCTAATTTTACACACTTAGCAGAAACAAAATACTTCTAAAACAAAAGAACCCCTATCATTCTAACTTACCTACATCCCTAAACAAAAACAAAACAAAATTTCATAAATTGGTACGATGTCACTAACTCCATGGATCTAAGCCTTTCTTGCGAAGCCACCAGTTGTGCAGCTACTCATGAATTTCCCAACATGTTATGAAACCCAAGTTCATTACCGAGTTCACAACAGTCCTCCACTGGTCCCTATCCTCAACCAGATCAATCCATTCCAAACCACACCATCCTACACCTCTAAGAACCATTTTAATATTATCCACCTACCTACTTGTCTCCTCCTTCTGGCTTTCCCACCAATATCCTAGATGAATACCTCGTCTCCCCATTCATGATACATGCACTGCCCATCCAATCCTCCTTGACTTGATCATTCTAATTATACCTGGCCAAGAGTACAACCCTCATTGTGCGCTTTTCTCCAACCTCGTATCACTTCACTCCATGGGAATTTATAATTTTTCGACTTCGTGTTAGAAATTTCAACCTCAGAAGAACTAGAAACAAGTACTCACCGCTCAACTCTATGTATTTCTAACATCACTAACCTAATGTACAGTTAATAACTGAGAGAGAAGGATGTTCTCCTTTTTCAAAAAGTGTGACTTTGCTAGCAATTTCCATTCTTACCCTTCACGAAGTTCGCTCTAGGTTGGTAACCCTTCTCAAATTCAATTATTCCTATACATGTCCCTCACATTTTAGTTGTTCCTGCGGAGGCAAAAACGTCTTATAAACATTACATAATTCAACTAACCCTTGACCTTTCCAGTTAACTCCCGGCCACAACTAAGATACGATTTTCTGCACGGTGTAGTAACTCAATGGCCAATGCGCTCAATGCCATCAATGCTATTGGCCAGGGGGGTGCAACTAAGATAGGAGAAAGGGAAACACGGTAACTACTGCCTCTAAGAGCGA